CACTCTGGATGAGCTTAAGGCCGCTATCGAAGCATCCTGGGCCTCCATAACACCTCAGCAGTGCCACAGGCTGATTGCCTCCATGCCACGCCGCATTGAAGCAGTCATTCATGCAAAAGGATTCCCGACCAAGTATTGAGTGCATAATACATGATTATTTGAAGGTTGGCGTTTTTTGTATTAAAAACACTCGTCTTTCATTGGTGGGATGAAATATGCTAATTTTTTGGGACAGGCATTTTGGGTTTTCATGAGCTGTATGCCATAATCATCAGTATTAAAACAATTAAAGACCTGAAATATTTCAGTTGGTGTGCAATGAATCTGAAATATATGAAAGTTTCATTTTTATCATTACATTATGGAAAATAATTACCTTTATCACAATATGATAATTTTTTGAGAAGGACCTGTAGTAAACTGTTCTCAACATTCATTGTTGCCGGATGCCTGAACGACTGCAGAGCAAAGCTAAAACATTGGTACTGTTTAGGCAAAGTGTATTTTAACAACCAGAAGTAGTCATGAATATATCCAGACCACAATGCATCTCAAAAAACTGACAATGAGCATGAGTATTAGTACTGTGACTATAAAAAGGTTAATTGTGTTAACTACTTCCACATACCTGATGCTATTTAAACAGCTCGTGTAGCAAAATGTTCAGTTCGTTAGTAAATGAGTGCTATGATTTCTGTTTTTTAATCTTATACTTTTTCAAATATTTACTCTCACTTACAAAATGGTTTTCTTATTAAAATACATTGAGAGCTTTTCACATCCTTAAAAAAAAAAAAAAAAAATGTTTTTTTTCGTCTTTGACATCTATACCAGCATACTTCTGGTAATACTACTACTACACGCCCAGTAGACGGATACATTCACAGACTGCGCCATCGGTGTATAACGCTCTACACACTCAGCGCACTTGCATAGTAACTTGGAAATTGTTCGGTTGAGAAAACAGTAATAAACTAAACAAACTAAACAGTATCATAAACTGATTTTAGAAATATTAGCTAATTAAACATTGTTTTTCAGACATATGTGTTGTTTTAAAAGCCATGCAAAACTATATTAAAAAAAAAAAACTAATTTGACTAGCCATTAGCCTAGCCTGGAGGAAAACTTCTGCCTCTTATTCCTCGTACTCCATGGTTAATAACTGATACCAGCAGATAAAGTACTAAAAATTAAATTAAACAGAACATAACTTCAAAGTTGACCAAACTATCCTGTTAAATTGCAGTACTTAGAAAACAGTCATTGGTGCATTTGTATCAGCCTTTCTGACAGAGTGCAGCTGCATGCTCCTCCCTCTGCTCCTTAGAAAAGGCGGGAATCACCATAGCAACCAGTGACAGCAGATTTTGAGTGTGTTTTTTTTTTTCTATACTGTTCCATCACAGACGCCCCAATAATCCCTTGGGATTTTATTCCTGATAAGAACATTTAAATTAAAGAGAACTGAATAAAACCTTTCACAATTTAGTATAAAAATAAATAAAATGCATTTAAAAATAAAAGTAAAAAAAAAATTCACACCAATTTCCATTCCAAATGATGACTAGGCCTTACAGAAGAAAATTGATCCATACTGGAAACTGCTGCTAACGCTTCAGAAATCCTCTAGTTTTTAATCTATCATTTTCCTCCGACTGTGACGGACCCGTGGAGGATTTAGTAACGTCGTATTTCAAGTCCAACGCAGACCAACAGTTTGTGTTTCACCTTGTTGAGTTTGAACGGAGTGTCGCGTGTGGCGCTCTCTTGAAACTGCTTGTTCCAGTTGCCCTTAAAGTAGATGGCGTTGACCAGCACCAGCTTGGTCAGGCTGTCCACCGCATCCTTGCCCAGAATATCCTTGATTTTATCTAAAAAATAATAATAATAAAAAAAATAGAACAGAACTAACGTGAAGCATTGCTACATATATATTTGCAATCATTTTCTAAGATTGCATTTTAGCTCAGTCAATTGAGTTACGGCTATTTTTGCGTTTGCTAAGGTCAATTAGCTGTGGCAGCCATTTTGAATCCAGTTGCATGTACAATCCAATGATTACTTCATGAGACTCCATTAAAAATTGCACAGTCACAAACGAAAACTTCACGAACCTTTTGGCCGTGGCTGATAATAAATAAGTGTCTGTGTGTCCCACCTTGTGTCTGCTTCTCCACCCAGCTGTTGATTTTGAGCCGGGCTGCTTCTGAGTTCTTGACAAAGTCCACCGTCTCCAGCTCGGCATGGTAGTGCTTCCTGGTTTGCTGCAGGAAATCCTGAAACCAGACAATAATTTAAAAAATATATATTTAAACTTTGCCAGATTTATTGGGCTTTTCTCCAATCACTACTTGGCCTACTTGTCTTGGCCTGCTGCCATTCTTACAACACTCCTCCCGCTGACTCCAGGTTACAAATGTGCAAACAAAACCACGCCTGAATGTGCACACACACCTGAAAAAACTGGTAGGATTGCTCTCCGAACAGCCTGTTTGCAACGCTCAGAGCGTACGGAGCGTCGGTCTTGTTGAGCTCGCTCAGCAGTTTGGCGAAGTCGGCGTGGACGTCCTGATTACTCATCGTGTGCAGGCTCTGCAAACCAAAAACGACAGTTACTGGACATGCAGCTCAAGGAGGCCAGATAGTTTTGCCAACTATGTGATGAGACAAAAACTAATTATTTAAATGTGGACAGAACCCATGGACAGAACCCATGGTATAGGTAATAACCTAATTGGGGGAACAAACCAATAACTTAAGTTTTTATTCATCACCTAATTGGTAAAAACCTGAGTTTTAATAAAAACAGTCATAAAGTCCCATAAAAACCTCCAGTTAAAGCCACAAAAAATGAAAAAGCAACAATAAATGAAAGGTATGGTTAAAAAAGCAAACCTTTAGGAACTCTTAACAGAACCCATGAGCCAAACCTCAGTAGCCCCAAGTCATCCCTCCACCATGTTATTTACACACGTCTTCAAGCCCAAGTGCTTCTTCAATTTTAACATTTCTATAAAATATTACTCATCGTTGTCTGGCACAAAAATGTGAGCAGAAGTTGTTTTCATTGTCAGGGACATCAGGAAGAGGAAACATCCCAGAGATTTGGCAAACAAGTGTCATTTTCAACAGCTGCTTGTAGGAGATAAAACTTTTTTTTTTTTTCTTCCAATTTTAGCTTCTCTAGAATTTCAGAATGGACTTTAAAACCTAACATACAAAGCTCTCAACAACCTAGATATTCTTGTTCCATATTTTCCTAACAGAGCACTTTGCTCTCAGAATGAAGCTGAAGGTTTACTTGTGGTTTCTAGAGTTTTGGAGTAAGTTTTCAGGCTCCTCTCGTGTGGAGCCAACTTCCAAATTCAGTCCGTGAAGCTGACACTATCTACTTTTAAGACTTTGTTTTTTCGTAAATCCTATAGTTATAGTTGGCTTGGGTTTCTTAAGCCATCCCTTAGTTCTGCTGCTATAAATTAACCTCACTCTGCGCTCCATGTTTATACATAAAATTACTGTTGCGGCGTTGCTATTACCTCTGTGTTTTTCTTACCATAGGAACTACATGTGCACCACTTCCTGTTTGTCCGTGTCTCTTTCATGTCTTCTATAAACCCAGCCAGCCAAGGCAGCTGACCGCCCATCCTGAGCTTGGTTCTGCTGGAGGTTTTTTCCCGTTAAAAGGGAGTCATTTCTTCCCACTGTCACCAATGAGCTGCTCAGGATGGGAAGTTGCAACAAAGTGAAGATCCGACACAAACTGGCACTTTATGCGATTGCACTGCATTATATTTGGACTGAATTAACCGTAATCTGGATTACGATCGGATCTGAAAATTGGATTGATAGCATGAACTTGCTTTTAGTTTCATAAAGCGACCAGAGAAGACTTTTGTTGTGAATTGGTGCTACATGAGCTGAACTGAAAGCAGCTGTGAAGCGACAACATATTAAAGTATTATAATAATATACTGAGACTCTAAAGTGTTTTACAGACAAATTAGAGTTAAAGTGTTTAAAAGAGATGAAAAGGACAACGTATACAGAAAGCAGAGAAAACAAAAAGGGACCCCAGTCCAAAACCACCTTTGTTTTTTCTCCTGTTAGTAACATGAATGTCCACTCCCTGTATTAATGCTTTTTTTTTACCATCTTCACAAACTGAGGCAGCTGGCCCTGGACCTGCTGTTCCATCGGCTTCGACTTCTGCATCTTAGGAGCTCCTGCCTGCTTGGGCTTCCCAGAGAACCTGAGAACCTAGAGGTGAGATTTGAGGCGGTCATTGTTAAATTAGACCCTCGACATTTTGAGACGAGAGCAGAAGGTTGGGTCGTTTTGGAACTGGTCTGTGGAGACACTTTTAAACTTCACGTTTGAATAGAAGGTAATGATCCCAAACTGTGGAGCTACAAGGAGCCGATGGATCAAACACCGAGCCGACGCTCGTAAAAACCTGGTCAGAGTCTGAGCAGGGCCGACTGTTTCTGCTGACAGTGGCAGATAAACCCGGTGATTCAGCCTCCGCTGCTACTTCGACTCATCGCCGTATCTTTAGAAAGCTCAAAGTTCAGCAGTTCACCTAGACACGTTGAGTAAAACGCAGCGGCTGGAGTCTGACTGGAGTTTAGTTTAACGCAATCTGTTCAGCTGAACTTAAAGCAGAGCCAAAAAGACAAGAGAAACTCTAAAGAGCTGGGTTTTTGCAGAGAGGCTGGAGGTTCATGTTGCAGCAGCAACAGTTTGACCCTTTGCTGCATGTCTTACCTGTGACGAGAGAAAACATTCCTCCGTGACTCTGCGGCATCCTTCAGGATTACCACAACTTGTATTCGCTGATATTTGTTCATATTGAGGTGTTAAGCTGTGCAGAGAGCTCGGAGACACGACAGAGAAGCTCAACTATGATTACAATGAAAACAAAACTTGGTTGCAAAGCATGAACTCCAGGGGTGTAGCCGTTTACGTAGGCCTCGGTTGTATTTGCACCTCGAGGTATAGTTTGGTCTCAACAGGAAAAAAAAAAAACAAATGCTAAAAACTCCCAGAAGCAGGGATAGAAAAAAATAAATCTTAATTGTGGGAAGGCTCTAACTCCGCAGGCGGAGTAAAGATGCGATTTTAAAGAGTCGTATTGTTCCATCGTGCTCGCCCATTTATAACTAGTGTCCTACAGAAATGAAAAGTATTAGTCTTAATGTTAGAAAACCCTTTTCCTCACTTTCTCTTCTGTCATTAAAATCATCTAAACCAGATGTGGCCTCTGTCGGACAGACGTCCTATGATTTTTTTTTGTCATATTCATTTTGCAATGACAATAAATCTGAAATATATCGCGCCGCCTTAAAAGGCATTTCTTGTTTTGCTTAATAAAAGTTGTATTTCTTTAATTCGTTTGACGAAGACTTGATGCAAAAATAAAATGTTTAACATTTTCCTTCCCAGCTCTGTTTATGAAACCTCTGTTGGTTTACGTTAACGGCATTTACCGTATTTTCCGCCGTACACGTGGCACAGCCCTATAAGTCGCATCAGTACAAATACGTCTCAAAAAGTGGGAAAATCCATAAATACGTCGCTTCGCCGTATACGTCGCATCTATTATGCGTCACCGCTGACGTGCCAAACGGCGGCCGTGGGAGCGTGCACGGTAGGACATTAACAAGATCAACACTTAAACACAATTATTTGTTTGCTCGAAATTATATTAAAAAGGTGCGTCTCAGTTAAACTTTTAGTTAATAAATTCACTTTGACGGTCGCATCAGCTTCATTTCGCTGAGGCGACGCGGCGAAATGAAGACGATTCTGTTGCTCCAGGCAGACGACGGCGGCAAACTATGGCAAGCCGATCGTGTCAATAATAGCCACTTTTAATTCATTCAATTCAGTTTATTTATATAGTGCCAAGTCACAACAGAAATCGTCTCAGGGCACTGAACAGAAGCATTCATATTTAAAAATAATAATTTAACATTATTTATCTGAGGAGCAGACTGCTTTGAGTTTATGACACAACGGCATGCCTTACCACTCGACTATATTTTCAGTCAGAATGAAAGAAAACAGTCATGTCTCAGCCAAAAATTGGGGGAAAATCCATAAATACGTCGCTTCCGCCTATAAGTCGCAGGTCATGCAAATTATGAAAAAAAAACGCACCTTGTATAGTGAAAAATACGGTATTAAACACCAGAACACAAATTATGGCACTTTTGGATTTCCGTACATCTACTTCCCACTCTCCACGATTTCCATCTGCCAGAACTTTCCACTCAGCTGATTAGAAACCAAACAGGTCATCAAGCTCCTGTGTTTCATCTCAACCAGCAATTCTTGCTTTGCTGTCGAGTTCTTTACATTAAATCTCCTTCTGCTCCTTCTCTCTCATGGCAGGTAAAGGAGCAGTGCGACTAAATTATTCTGAAAGAACCCAGTCCTGACATCAGTACCGAGATGGTTCGGTTTGAATCGATGCACCGTTATGATCTAATCTTCTTCGGTATGAATTTGTGAATGAATTTCTAACATATTTAGCAACAATTTTCACAATAAAAGTCACTTTTTTAAATCTTTTTTATTTATTGGAAGCACAACACTTGTAAGTATTCAGCAGCAACGTTACACACTGGCTGGAAAACGGTGCGTTTTGCAGGCGCCGGTCCAAGTCTTGACTGTGCGGAGTCATTCGATGGATGTTTGGTGTAAATCCAGAGCTGACCCAACCCGGTCAGGAGACTGGTGTCTCTGACTGACAGTCTGATGACTCACCGCCTCGCATCACTTTCACCTCTCATCTCGTTCATGCACGCATTCACCCTCGCTTTCTCACAGTCATGTGCGACTGCACAGTCAGACAAAACCACCCGACTGAGGTGCAGCAATCAGAACCTCGTTTCCAGTCAAAATCTCGTCCCTCAGTTGGACGCCCAGCCCGTCTAACAGGAATGAACGCATACGCCGCACAGAACAAACAGCCGCCATGAATGAGACTTTGTCCGTTTTGTCCGTTCGACATCATCCGATAAAACATGACGAGGTTTAAACCTCCTGAAGCTGTAAAAACTGTGTACCAAAGGCTCAGGAACCATCAGGACAGTGATTTATAGAGGAGCTAAAGCCCCAGGGTTACACCAGGTGAAGGGTGAGGCTCTCCCCCTCCCGTACACTGGGTGGGGTTCTACTGTAGTAATCTGAGCTCAGGAAACATTGAATCAACTTCCACCTGAGTTCAACCTGCTGCTCCGCAATGTTGCATCAGTAAAATTATATCAAATGTACAAAGTTGCACAACAGCTGCATTAAAAACGGCAGCTGGAACATAAAAAAGCGATAACTGTGATTTAAGTTGTTTCTAATTATCTGAACTACTATGAAGGTCCCTCATCTACTGGCGGCCCAACAGTCAGACATGCTGAGAACTGATAACCTTCATCTGAACAAGCTTTTATTGTTTTACTACACCTCCACGGTATTTATTATGTTCCTGTAGCAACGCAGCACAGACCCAACCCTGGTTTTTAGAACCAGGACTGAGCCTAGACGGTTAACGCTGCTCAGGAGGGACAATCAGGAACTCCCTTAACTCGAGAGGTTTTACTGTTCTTTTAAAGAACCACAGCTGTGGAGGTGATGCTCTGTACCTCCGACATCTGCGTGGCCGTGTTGCCTCTGGCTCCCAGCATCACCATAGCGAGAGCCGAAGAGATGCTGAACGGAGAGAAGAAGACGTTTTCAGTCTTGTCGTTGTCCCCCAGGTTAGCGAACAGAGCCAGAGAGAAGGTGGTGTTGGCCTTGGTCAGAGGAGCTGATGAAGCCATGGTGCCTGCAGGAACAAAGAACAGGGTGTTGATCGTGATGCTACGACTTTAATCATCTAATCAACTGTTTTGTTTTCCTCGTTAAAGGAAAATCCACTAATAGGAGGATTAACAGAGTTCCCATACAGTCCCATTTAAAAAATCTCAGTTTTCCAGACTGAATGGCACAAATAACGTCAGTTTTCTGCCCGTTTTTAAAGCGCAAGCACAAAGATTTCCAGTAAATTTGTAGTTCAGACAAGATGGACAGCAGGAAACGACATTTCTGAGAACAAAAGTTCCCATTTTTTGCCATAAAGTTTTGAAGTTCTGATTAAAAGTTTATGAGCATTTAACATTTTACCTGTTGTAGACAGCTCTTTGAACCACCTCAGGTTTAGAAAATTAAAAAAAAGTTTAATTGACCGGCGCTTACGTCTAGTTTGAACCAAAGTGGAGTTGTATCAAAGCAGCAACGATCTGTTTTGGTCTTCAGACTAGCCATTAGCTCATCAGTCTGGACAATTAAACTCCTTTACTCCAAATTGAAGTTTTTAAGAAACTATTTACGACAGGTAAGATGTTGCCTCTGCGTAACCTTTCCGCAGGACCCCACTATAAAACTTGTGAATTTCTGCTTTAATTAAAGGCTTTATTACAACATGACGTTTATTTGTTAAGATATGATCAAATTTCAAGTTTTATACAATTATTGCAACTTGTCTGTATTTATAGAACTGATTTTTTTTAATTAACTTGGTACACAAAGTGGTTTACAGTGAACTAAAACTTAAATATGTCCATCTTGAACTATAATACCAAGTTTTAAAAAGTGCTTTTTTTGTTCAGGAAATGAAAGTAGCAAATAAAAACTGAAAACACACGTTTTTTCTATATTTACTTGGACCTGAAAAGTATTAAAAAGCAGTTTTTCAAACATTTCAAGCCAGAGAAACCCCTGGATCAAATTACAAACCTGAAGAGTTTAAGACAGAATGGGACAATAAATGTTGACTTATAAACCTCAAAGATCAAACAAGCCAAGATAATTTACACTTGAGCTTCACTTTACTTACTGAATACAAATACTTGAAACAAATAACTCATTAGTCTCCTTGTGTTTACAAAGGTTCGGTCATTCCACAGACACAACAAAATAACCTAAAACTAGTTCAATTTAAGACTTAAATGAAGAAAGTAAAAAAAAACCAGAATCAATAGTTAGCATAGTAGTTTTCAAACACCGAACCGAATCCGCTTCTCTCAGATGGAGCAAAAGAGATTTTTAAACTTACTGTTGGGCAGTTTTCTTGCGATTCTTCAACAAAACTTCGCTGGCTAGGACTAAAAGGCTCAAGCAACAGTTTATTTATCCAACCCGACGACACGCCCACCACCCAAAAAAAAAAAAAACCCCGAAGAAGACGAAACCCGGAAGTGGAACGGCTTAATATTTTTTTAGAACAGATTATTGGGATAAAGTTTGATTTTCCCTTTAATATAGTCCGATTGTAAAATTTTACAAGAACATGCCGAAACTATACACAATTGTATTGTTTTTATTACAATATTTATAAACTTCTAAATCGACACGCCCAAAATACCTCGAAGAAGAACGCTTCCGGAAATGCTCCAGTACGGAAGCCGAAAGGCGAATGAGGACGGAGAAAAAAAAAACAAGGTTTGGTCCAACAAACTTCATTTTAAAATATTACCCAGGCAGTTCAAGTCAGATTTTTCTTATATATATATATATATATATATAGATAGATAGATAGATAGATAGATAGATAGATAGATAGATAGATA